CCGTAGAACATTGCGAATCAATTGTGTTTTTAATTCGGGATTCGTATCGGTTCGGTTACGTGTCAAACAAGTGCGAATTGGTGGACGTACACCGGGTGCCCTGATATCCCTAACGTGAACTGCTTCCAATAAGCGTCGAAGATGTTTGCTTTCTCGGAGCTGGCTAGGACTGGGTGGTTGAAAGAGAGAGCACCTATAGCCGTACGCAGCTTGGAGTTAGCTTGTACGTAGTTAAAGAATGCCCCAGGGCATTTTTTAATCTTCTGCGCCAGTCCCGTTTCGAAAGTCATACGGCAAGTCGACTGGGCACTGATCGCCCTGTCTTTCTCCTTGAGGTAATGGAGATACCCTTGTAGGCTATGGGTCTTGAGGTACTGGCTGCAAGCTCGACGCTTTCGGGCTTGTGCTTTTGCTACCCTGCTGGACCATCAGGGGAGTTCACCATTTTTGAGGATCCTCCTTAGCGGAGCAACCTCCGAAGTGAGCATTAATAGGTTAGACTTAATGGTGGTCCAAAGCCCTTCTATAGTGTTGAGCTGCTTCCCTCAGTGTAGCTCAGAGGCTCTTTCAATGAGGAAACTGCTGTTTATTCTGTGGAAGGCTCTCTTTCATTTTGTGTAAAGATTTGGGCCGTTTTCCTGTAAACAGAAACGCAGCACTACATGGTCACTCGTACCCAGTGGTGGACAGGTTCCCAAGCCGACGACATCATTGGGATATTTACTCAGGACTAGGTCCAATAACCCGGGGTTTTGCCCGCTACGATAACGCGGGGGTTGGTTGACGTGTTGGACTAGGGCGCAGTCAAGGGTAAAATTTACTAGTAAGCGGCCAAAANGTTGCATAATGAACGGTCGCTGAAGGTTGGGGACGTTGTTCTTACGGCCGATGAATAGCTACAACTCGACTACTGGCCACTGGGTGTAGTCATAAAAAGCCACACGCACTCAGATGGTCTAGTAAGAACAGTGAAATTGGAAACATCTGCCGGTGAGCAGGTGCGCGATATTTGACGAGCGTGTTTATTGGAGGGCGATGACCACCATGCCGTTACTTGATGGAGTTGAGAAGACCCGCCGTCTTACCAGCCCCTTGTACCAATTGTGCCCCAGGGATATTCACCCAGGAACGCGTGCTTCCACGTCCTTGCCATACGTCCTCTCTATTTCATCTCGTAACTGAGTGTCCTCTTATCAGATTGATACACAATTTATAACAATAACCTCGTAGGCGTGACCCATGTCATCACAAAATCCATCAATTCACATTCACACAATCACCTGCATGGTGAACATGATTTCGTTTGTAAAACTTGAACATTAATTACACTGCCCACATTTACCCCCCTTCTTGTTTAGACATCGAGAATTCATCTGTAGTGATATTCAGTTGACCCACTGCTACCAAGTTATTGTGTGATTAGCTGTGAGCGTGCTGATGCAGAAGGCAGACCTCGACGAAGAAACGTGCAAATCGTTGGAGGTCAAGATCAACGAGTGCGGCAAAGGTTGAATAGTTCGTAGGCAGAATCACTGACAGCAGAAACTGAGTAGATAGATAGGTATACAAAAATCACTGATCTGCACCAACCCTTTGAATCAGACGAGCGCAGGACGGATTTTTTTCGTGTATTTCGTGCTGAATGTTTTTGAAAAACCTACTGAACCCATGATGATTTATGGTGAAATAACTCTATCTGTGGGTTGCTCCTATATTGATATGTCTCAATCACAAACACCATACATCATTATTTATCTGTTAATTCGATGCCCGGCACATTTGAATTTTGCGTGGTCAGAGAACGTGAGCGACTGTTTGGCTCTCTCTGGACATCATATTTGGCTCGCTTGCTTCAGTGCTTTTGGCCGCATATTTGAGGTTTGCTTTATTGTACATCTGTAATGATTTCGTTATTTCAGTACCGTAGAACATGGCGGATCAATTGTGTTTTGAATCTCGGAATCGCATTGGTTCCGGCTACGCGTCAATCAAGTGCGAATCGGTTGGCGTACAGTGAGGAGGTTATCACGTCGCCACGTCATTGGGATATTCACTCAAGAATAGGTTCAATAACCTAGAATTTTGCCCGCTGCGATAACGCGTGGGTTGGTTTACGTGTTGGACTAGGGCGCAGTCAAGGGTAAAATTTACTAGTAAGCGGCCAAAATTTCTCGGTGGTGCCCACGTGGAATTTCAATCGACTTCCGGGTCATTAAAGTCCCCTGGAATCAACACGCTGGTTGATCCGTGGCTAAGCTGTCTGAGGTATGTTAATAGTTGCTCATCATCTACCTGTGATGCTGAAGGACTGCGATAAAAACAGCACACCGTCAGATTCTTTGTGGAGAGGCGTATCGCACAGGCTGCTACCCGGATGTTAGGTGTGTTTAAGGGAGCGACTGTTTCAGTTTGGAGCTGCTCGCTGGTCATGAGCAGTGCTCCTCCTCTTAAGCGATTGTCTTCCCTATCGATTCTGAAGACAGTGAAACATTTTGGTTTTAACGACTCGATGCCTTCATCCGGTCGAAACCAGGTTCCGTTTATCGCTATGCCGTCGGAGTGGATGCACTCCGAGGTTAATTCACCCCATTTGTTCCCCAGGCTGCAGGCCTATGTGCTGAACACCCGCATGCCTAATCTGTGGCTAGTGATGGGAACTTGGGGGTAGCTCTCGGGCTCTAGTCCCGATTTTGCCCTACGTTTTTTGCAACGGAGGGTTTACGGGATATGCCAGGCGTTTCTACCTGGGCCTGCATTTCGGGTTGGGCGGATGCGGTTCGGCTGGGGTGTGACCTGGGTCGGCTAGTCAGAGATACAACCGCAGTGGGTGTTTCCTTTGTCACCTTTGCTGCCATCTTATGTAGTCGCAGAGAAGGTAAGTTCATGGGTGTTACATTTGGAAGCAGTTTCTCTAATCGACCTTTCAGAGTATTGTCTGGTGCTACGGATATTGCCCCTTTGGTCTCGGCCCCCAGCTGGACAGAGACTGCGAGGAACAAATCACAGTACCGTGAGTTGCTGAACTCGGCAAGCACAGGTCTTCCATTATTTCCTCATGGAGACCATTTTCCTAGCCGAGGCACCCTTTTTATGTTTGCGTGAGGAGGAGTGCCTGATTGTCTGAGGAGGGGGATGAAATGGTGCCTTATTAGCGCTTCCCTCTGCTTTGCTATCCGACAGAAAGGCTCAGCTATGCCTTTGATTACTACATACCTATGCCTCCCGAGAGCGATTTCGGTGTTCGCCTGGAGAGTTTTCATGCTGTTGGAATTCGATGAAGCTAACTTGGCTACTCTAGCAAGTTGAATGGCTCTGTTGGCTAGGGAATCAGTGATCACCTTCAGTTGACAAGTGCTGTCATCCCTAAGACTTTTCGTATCCCGATGATCGATGGTGGGCTGAATGTCCTTCCTTTCTATCACTGTGAAATCTAGGAAGGAGCTACAGTGTGCCTCTGTGAGCTCTTCATCTGAGGTAGGTGTTGGCCCGGTCCTATTCTACAGCGAGCTACCCGCACTCGGCTTTAGTGGTGCCAGTACCTGAACATCCAATTAAGGTGGGTTGACGGGTCTGGCGGCCTTAACTTTGTCTTCTTGCGTAAAAATGTTTGCGCACGCATAACAAACCCATTTTAGGCATTTGTGCTCGGCGTAGAGTCGGCAGGCCTTAATGGTTAATTTACTGCACTTTCGGTGATACCAGGTATCGCAAAAGTCGCAGCAGATACCCTCACTTACAGTAACTAGACAATCTGTTCTCCCACACGGAAATACCCTGGCCTCAGTTTAAGGGTTAGCCATTTCGACTGGTGGGCATTTTCTGCTCACAGCTCTGGTGGTCATCAGGATATAACCTGTTGCGTACGGGCGGTAGGTTCTGATGATTACAGTAGAATTAGAGAGCCTTAGGGTAACGGATATAACTTGGGATTAATATGACAGAAAGATGAGAGAGATGTATAATGGGAAAGAACAGAGTCAAGAGCATGCACTGGCTAGGAAAATGAACCACAAGCCAAAGTTAACGCGGACGCTGGACTCACCGAGATTCTTCACAGAAGGCAACAACTAACGCTTAGGCTCAACTTCGTAGCACCCTGAGCTGACCCTTAGGCAAATACCAGTCGATTTTAGCTAGACCTGAATCCACNGACAAGTTAATGGACTTGCGGCGGAGGCAGGAGCAGTCAGTAAACTAAAGCAGCCCTGATCCCTAGTGCAGTTATGGGAACAAGAGATACCACTCTTTGTCCAGCTGTAGTTTGAAATCTTTCTTTATGGAACATTCAACTATTCGAGCTGCTGAATTGTTCAATTTAGGGACTACTCCATTTGCAAAGAAGTGATATCTTATTGGTAGCCTGCACTTGGTTCTCTCCAGTGTCTAGCAGTGCCCTCGGAGTATGTTGTTGGTCTGCAAGGTGAACAAGTGTCTAATGGGGGACTGCTCCGTGTTCCTGGTAGCTTTGTACACCTCAATGAGGTCCCTTCTCAGCCGTCGGCGTTCTAGAGATAACAGGTTCAGGGAGTTCAGTCTGTCCGAGTAGCTAAGTCCTTTTGACCTCAGACCATTCGGATTCCTTGTCGCTGAACGTCTTCTGGAACTTTGATGTCTTTCCGAAGATACGATGCCTAAGCCTGAACGCAGTACTCGAGATGAGGCCTAACGATGCTTGTGTACAGAGGCATAAATNCATAAATACACTAGGACAACGGTTGGTGACTGTTTTTCGGTGTCTAAACCAAGCTCGTCTGGCTTTCAAGGCTGCTGCTACAGCGGTAGAGGATGGGGAAAAGGTGTTGGAGAGTCTTATCTCGAGGTCCATTGCCTCTGCTTGTAAACCACGTCAATTCAGTTCAGGCCAGGTTAGAACAGAACAGTACAGGTCACAGGACTTGCGGCGGAGCCAAAATCAGCCAGTTTCTTGCACCACTGAGCTTGAGAGCACCACGGCGAGGCGACAATTGTGTTATTTCGTTCACGTTGACGTGAGTGAGTGCGATTCTCGAAAAGGCAAACGCACAAGACTGATAATGGCCACGGTCAATCGAGCCTCCAGATTTCTCCCGGCAGTAGGCTCTGTCCACCTATCTCCTTGTGTTTGAACTTAGCTAACAGAAACCTGTGGTTGACGGAATCAAAAGCTTTTCAAAAATCTAAGTAACAAACATCCACAGCTTTGTCCTCATCTAACCTCGAGGTTGCCTCATCTAAAAAGCACAGTAAATTAGATAGATATGATCTACCCTTGGTAAACCCGTGTTGTTGGTCAGCAAGCAGTGAGTTTTGGAGTAAATGCTGTTCAATGTGCGTCCTCACTATCCTTTTTAGGCACTTGCACAACATACTCGTTAGGCTCACCGGTATACAATTTTTAAGCTGGGATTGTGTTCCTCCTCTGTGAATGGCAACAACTTCAGCTGTGTTCCATGCCCTCGTTGGCTCGCCGTGATCTAGGCTGGCTTCGTATAATTCCTGTAGCGGTCCCGCTACTATATCCGCCATTGATTTAACGATCACCGGGTGGATTCCATCGGTCCCTGGAGATTTACTTACGTGCAGCTCCGCTAATGTCCGATGAACCGCTTCTAACGACACATAGGTATACTCTATTTCATCTGAGGGGGAGGGGGGCGAGATCCGGTAGTGCCAGATCGTCGCGATCTACTCTATGCATACTACAGAAGTATGTGCAAAAGAAGTCTACCTTTCCTGGTCATCTATCATGGTCTTACCTCTCAATTGTAGAGGTCCCATCATCCTTTTATTGAAACCCCTGGCTTGAGCGTAGCTGTAGTAGCGTTTCGGCTCCCTTTTAGTTCGGCTGGCTAGTTTCAACTCATAGTCCCTCTTACCCTTTCTAATGAGCAAAACTGCTTCTTTACGATGTCTCGTGTACTGCCTCCAGGCCATCTGGGACCCCTAGGCTCGAAGAACTTTCCAGCTTCGATTTCTTCGTTTAATCACCCTACTTACAGCGGCGTGCCACCGTGGCGGCTTCTTCCTTGAACGTCTATGGGTTAAGGGAGAAAGCTCATCTTGGAATTTCACCAGGTGGTTTTTTACTATACTCCAGCTTTCCTCTACGTCAGTGTGCTGCTCTGAACTGTGCAAACTCAGCTGAGCTGCCTTAGCTCGGAGTAGATTAACGTCAGTCCTTCCAAAGTTCCTACACAGCCCTTCACGGGGTCTGGTTAGTTTCAACTGAAATGTTATCTTCGTGAGAAGATGATCACTGTTACCGATAAGAGAGATACTCTAGGCTTCGTCCTTCTTTCTCCTGCGCTGTCATGGTAAGGTCCAACAGCGAAGGTTGTTGGCCTTCCAGATACTTGGTGTTCTCATTCACATGCTAATAAAGAGCCCCAGGAGTGAATCCATTCGAGGTAGCTTTTGCCTGAACCTTGAGGACACCTCCCGAAATCCCAGTCAACATACCTGAGACTAAGGTCACCCATAATGATCAGTCTGGTCGAATTTGGAGCCAAGTTGTCCAGTTCATCAACAACAGTAGACATATGTGAGCAGAATTGCTATTGACTATGAATTTCACGTGCTCTCATTCAGCTGTAAACGCACATTTATATGATCCTGGGAAACGCGGAAGCATAAGGGTTGAAATAAGTCATTTGAACAAAGTGTTGGACAAATGAGTCGAGTGATTTGTTTTTGGTTAGGGATTGAGGTGAGAAAATTTGATATGGATGTGAACTGGTCCGAACGATGTGGTAAATATGGTAAACTAGGGAGGGGGAGGTGAGGTCATGTCACGGCATGCTATGGTAGAGAGATATCAAGCGTGATATCATCACTACCACGGCAAAAGCAGTTGCGTCACAAATGTTCTTTGAAAACATAATTGCGATTTCAAGCGATGAATAAGTATCGCTTCTAAGAATCGCAAAGTCCGTGAACTTCAAGGCCTCGTAATGAATAGAAACTCTTTGGGTGCGTCTACTTGGTGACCGGAATCTAAAAAATGACGAGCAATCGCACTAGATGGTGATTTTCCTCCACGAAGACCAAAGTGTTTCGGAATATGTTCACACATTCTGGTTGAAAAGTGACGTCCTTCCGATATACCGCTGACCGCATGGAACATTGAAATAAATAGATGCAGTTGGAGGTAATACTTACGTCTTTTCGATCCAGAATAGTGCGTGTGAGACAACGGAACGTCCCGTAGAGAATCATTAGTCTTGCGGTATTCTACGTCCTTTCGACGGCGTGTATTAAACGTTGAGATATTCTTGTGGTCACGTCATCTCCCTTGAAAGGCAGTTTCAAAAAGACATTTCTCCTTTGCGGATTAAGAAATAAGCTTGGTGTTGATCGGCTTGCGGTATTTGTGGATGAATGCGATGGGATAACCACTGTCTATCTAACTATGGGCCAGTCGGTTCAGTTTATCTGGTAGGACGTGCGGACTGCATGGTCGGTAAACCCTGTGAAACAGAGTGCGTACCAGATCACGCTTGTATCCCACAAGGCAGAAACTCCTGAATTGTAAATACTGTCCTGTCCATGTAGACTTTCGGTACATAGACATCTGTAGCTTACCGTCTGACATTCGATTAGGTAAAAAGTCATAGAATGGAGGTTTTGATCCCGATTCACATTCTAATGTCAGTTTGATGTCGGGATGCAATGAGTTTAACTTGTAAAATAATGCCATAATGTCTGTTTCATTGCGCGCAATAACTAGTGTATCATCAACATACCGTCGATATGGTATGGTTGAATTCAAATCACCTTCCGGTTTGTTTTCTAGTGTCGACAGGAAGATATCAGCAAGAATTGGCCACAAAGGGCTACTCAAAGCTACACCATCAACCTGTTTACAGATATTTCCATTGAAAACAAACTGTTCACAGACGTATAAATCCAGTAGAGTTTTCAAGTCACTGGCGAGGAAATCTATTTCACTGGCATGTTTACATACTTCGTTCACAGCTTCCTCGACCTTGAAATTTGTGAAAAATGAAGTAATATCGTAAGAGGCGAGAAAACAACTAAGGTAATCTACGTCTGATATTGGTATTGAAGTGTATCCTTCAGTCCTAACTTGCACAGCTTGGTATTAATTGGAGCAATCAACTTCGCCAACCATTGTGCAAGTTTGTGGTGGGGAGAGTTAACCATCGATAGGATTGGTCGTAATGGGATCCCCGGTTTGTGAAATTTCGGTAATAAGTACGTTCTTGAGATATGTGAACCCCGAGGTCTCAGTTTAACAAGCGTGCTCGTGTCGATCACACCTTTCTTCCAGAATCGCTTTAACGTAGCACAGACTGTTTTTTCAAAGATTCAGTTTTATCTTTTGCTTTTGCTTCAAGTTGAAAACGAGTGTGATCCATAAGTATTCCCTCCATCTTTTCGACATAATCCTCCTTATTGAAAATGATGACTCCAAAATCTTTATCTGGCTTCATAAGCAAAATTGACTTATTTCGTTTCAGTTCTTCTAATTCGTTTATGTAGTCTTTTGACAGTAGATTATGATGGGACGTTTGGGAAACACGGAACTGGTGAACCAAGTCTACAAGTCTGGCTTTTAACTAACTTCCTGATTCAGTTGTACATGATGTTTATTCTTTTAACTGGTCTGAAAGATTCTCAAACTCTGAATCTACTTTCAAACTCTGAGGCTCTTTCTCGGGTACAAACAAATTTAAACCCAGTGATAAAGCTTCCAGTCGCAGTCGATTCAATGCCAATTGCGATAAATTATGGACGTACCTTCTGGGTTATTTTGGAAACTCATCTGTGGTAACTGCTTCTGATAACGATTTCGGTAGATCCTTGAGCAACTCACTCCGACATCGGCACTGCAGTTTGCGGCTGAATTTATTGAACTTGATTCGACATACAAGGCTGAGACTATCCAAAATGGCACACATTGAGGAAATTTTCTGTCTCAGTTGGTTGAGTGTTTCAACAGTATGTTACAAGTGGGACTTCGTTAAAAGCATAAGGTTCCTTCGATTAGGTGGTAATTTATTTCGGCGAAGAGATTTTGTAAACTGACGAGGAAACATATCACTGTGCAAAAAATTCCGCAGAAAATCGGCACAAGCGGTTACACGAGTCACATGACAGCGAATGTTTAACAGTATATGCAAAGGTTTGACTACATAGGCTGGGAGGTGCTACTTGAAAAATGTGAAACATCCTTTTCTTTTTATTCATTTTATCAACGACAGAAGACATATGTGGACAGATTTGATATTGGCCATCAGTTTCTCGTGCTCTCATTCAGCTGTAAACGCACATTTATATGATCACGTTAAACAAAGAAGCATAAGAGTCGAAATGAGTTATTTGAACAAAGTGTTGGACAGCTTGTCCAATGCCCAGGTAGTCTGTTGGTCCTCAGATTGTGTGGCACTAGGGCCCCTATACAAACAGGCAATGGACAGTTTTCTGCTATTTGTAATAACATCCATTGCAATTAGCTGCACACTGAGGGTAGCAACCTTGGTGTTCGATTCTACTGAGCACAAGTGGGTTCTCAGAGGCAGGACTACTCCTCCTCCCTGTACAGAGCCAACCCTATCAGTTGTGTAGATGACACAGATATCCTGAACCATACTACGGTAAGGATCACTCTCTGGGAGCCAGGTTTCCGTTATGCCTACCGCGGTAGCCTTATGGGGCTTCGCTGCCATCAGAACCTTGGCCCACTTGTTTCTGACACTGCAAGTACTTGAATACGGCAGTGTCATTCTCTTCTGTTGATTTTCTATTTCGAATTTCTCCTTGGGACAGAGAACCCGAGGAGAACCGGCGTTTTTCGGGCCTCTACGACAACCTATTTGCGTGGAGTTGCACATCTTATTGTACAATCCTGTCTCCTGAACTCTGATGCCCTCTCCAGGGTCCCTGTGTACAAGTCGCTATCCAACTGACCCTTGTGAGGAGCAGATTTCGCATACTTTGATTGTTGAATTCTGCGAGAATCTGTCTTGCTGAAATTTTCCCACCCGGCCCAGGATTCCTCCACACTCCCAACCTGTGAACTCTTTTGAGGGAATTTTTGGGATTGATTCCTGCAACCGCAGGATATCTACCACCCTACTTCGATCCATTTTTCTCCGGGTTTTCGACTCTCTGATCATAAGCTACTCGTTGCTGAGAATGAGCACTGTTCTGTTGCAGTTTCTCATCCCCCTGCTAGATAGGGCGTCTAACTCCCTGCTGAACGGGTTAACCTTATTTTGAATGTCAAGGACCAGGAGGTTTTGCACCCTCTTCAGTAGTGGGGGGTGTACGCCAACCGATTCGCACTTGATTGACGCGTAGACGAAACCAATGCGATTCCCAGATTCAAAACACAATTGATCCGCC